ATTAGCTTCAATGTCCAAGTTCGACTTTGAAGAGAAAATGGAGTTTCTAAGGCCTTTATCTAGGTAAAAAAAAGAGAGAGTTCAGAGAAAACTTCAGAGAAAGACGTGAGTTTGAAATAGAATAAATTTTTCATGTGGAAAATCTCTTAAATACCTCTCAGTACAGCGCATTCTCGTTTGAGTGAGGGACAGCTCGCTTGAGTGACGACATCTCGCTTGAACGATGGCTCTGTTGCCTAAGCGAGATATGTAGACAATGGTCTTGCCCACTATTTTCTATTATGCTCGCTTGAGCGAGCTCTATCTCACCTGAGCGAGCTCCATCTCGCCTGAGCGAGATGGTGTCCAGAGAACATGTTATTTTTCCTGTGGGTCCTCTCCTGAGCAACCCATCTCACCTGGGCGAGATCCTTAGCTCGCCTAAGCGAGATCACTCTTGCCTGAGCGAGGTGATAGTCGGGAAACATTTATCTTATCTCGCCTGAGTGAGATAGTCCTGCAACAATATATTCCTGCATGCTCAATCTCGCCTTGGCGAGATTTACCTCACCTGAGTGAGATCTCTTGTAACTCCTTAACTTTAATTTCAAACAAATAACAATTTTGCAAACTCAAATAATAAATTTCATAAAATAATTCAAAAATGAGGAAGGCCTACAAGTTCATATCAAACAACTGCTACAGGGCTAGTTCAAATACAACAATTTTCAATTAAATAATCCTAAGCCCTATAGTAGTTCATCCGTCCCTTCACTGAGTCTGATGCTAATTGTCTTGATTACTTGAAAAATGAATGTAAGGGTGAGTACTCTACACTATCAAAATACACAGTCAAATATAAAGTCTCACCTTCAAACTACTTTAAATACACTTAGACAAGTATATGGAAATATACTCACAAGCAGCATTCCAGTACAATTTCATTTCAACTAAACATCGATGCACTTATGGCATCCACAACATTTCATGTTCATAACTCACAGCATATTACACCGGCATTGGCATGCCCCATTACAGTATTTCGTACCGGCGATTACTCGCCCTATTCACATTGTTGTACATCGGCGACAACCTGCCCCATTCACATTGTTGTATATTTGCGGCTACCTGCCCCATTCACATTATTGTATATCGGCGGCAACCCACCCCATTCTTTATTAGATACCGGTGGCTACCCGCCTCATTCACATTATTATATACCGGCGGCAACCTGCCCTAATCTTTATTATATATCGGCAGCTACCCGCCGCATTCACATTATTGTATATCGGCGGCTGCCCGCCCCATTCTCAATATTTCATAATACACGGCACGAGGTCCACTTTCCTTTATAACACATGACACCTAGCCTACTTCCATACTATTCAACACCTAGTCCATATTTATTGTATCACACAGTCCTCGGCCCACATTGGTTCACATTATTCATTCGAAATATACAGCATAAGTGTCCATACCCATTCACAATATTCGGCATACAAGCCCATATTCTATCACACAACATTTACATAAAATTCCTATTTCTTGATTTTGAGTAAATACACAAAATATTCACGTGTCACGACACATAGTCCACATTACATTCTTCAGCAATTTTCTATTCTCTAATTCAAGAACAACACAATATTCGGCAAAATAACAACAAATCACGCATAAAAGAGTAGGGTAGAGGCCCCTTGCCTTGAATTGAAGACCCACTCACGGATTCGGCCTCGAAAACGTTCCCCACACGGATTTTGGCCTAAACACAGGTTATTTCCATGATGAGAACCCAGAAATTGTCCCAAAAATAGAGAAAGGGAATGAAAAATAGAACCCTAAACGTTAAAACTCACCTCCAAACATTCTCCACATAAATCTAAGCTCTAATCTCGATTACGAACGACTTTGGAGGCAATTAATCGGTGAGAAAGGGGTTTGGGGTGGAGAGAATCGAAGGGATTTAGGGGAGAATTTGAGAAATAACTCTCAAATCCCAAAACCCCCCTTTTAAACCCTTTAGATCGCGACACTCTCGCTGCAGCGACACTCTCTGTCGCCACAGCGAAAACCTTAGACGAAATTGCATTCTGGTTTCTACAGAATCTCGCTATAGCGAGGCTCTCTCGCTTTGGCGAGTTTGCACCCAGAAATGCAGTCCCCACTATCGATCTCCCGTCACAGCGAGAAGGCAACAGTTTAGCCCCTTTCTTCCCAGGGCACTCTCGCTACAGCGAGAACACTCTGCACTAACTACTTAGCCTATTCTTTTCAGCCCACTCTAGTCCAGTCATACCCACATAACATCCCCGTATTTATTCACATGCACATACATATATATACTCATACGTTATTACCACACATTAAAATGCCATTCGTATTTCATCATTTCGTACTTGAGTGCACATTCAAACATTCATTCTCATATAAATATTCACATACATATATATATATATATATATATATACATCAACAATAATGATTAATATTATCAAAATTTGGGGCGTTACATCTCCTGCACCAAAACTCCTCTAAAAATCCTCCACACTTATATCTAAATGCATTCTATGGCCACTTAACATTAACAAAAATATAATTTCTCGAAAAATGAAATAAGGATGTTATAAAACTCTAGGATAAACAACTTTATTAATACTGAGAAATGAGTATATTAAATTGTACTAATTTGAGTCCAAAGGTGTCTGATGTCGGCACATTGTACTGATTTGTGTGGTATGAAATTGTGTGATGATCTCTGTACTAGATGATATAATAAATATATAGATGTGGTATGATAGTTAAAGTATGTTGAAATTAGTAGATTTATATTATTGATGGAAGAAGTTTGAATGTTCTTGGATAAAGAGAGAGGATGATGTACAGGATTGAATAATGTGACATTATTAGAAAATTATGAGATGTGTGATTATAATACGTGAGTCAAAACAAATTGAGAGGTGTGATTACGATACAAGTATTATGGTACATCGATGGGTGTACTATAATACATGAATTTATATAAATCATAACTTACATATTATGACATGCTAATCGATGAAAAGAATCTGAAAATGAAACAAGATATAAGAAGAAAGAGAATGATATGAGAAATATTAAGAATAAGTATAGATAGTCACAGAGATATACTAGAAGTGTGGAAGACGAAAGTGATTGTGAAAATCAGAAAGAAATGAGCGTGGTAGATGTTTTTCTATGAAATGCACATAATTAATGAAAATAGAGGGAAAAGATATCACAGGTCTCATACTCATTTCCTAACCTAAATCTCTGACCACACTTTGGTCAGGTTGGCACATGTTATATTTGTGTGCAACGGCTAACCAACAATTATCTATGCTATGAAGTTCTCAAGGGATCCCAAAGGAAATGATTATGAAAGTGTGATGAATGTGAAGTAGTATAGAAATTGTGTGATTATAATATATGCATTGTAACATATCAATTGGTGTTGTTATGATATATGTATTATAATACATCGATGAGTATGATTAGGACACATGTATTATGACATATGATTGATGTGATATAATACATATATTATGACATACTATTTAGTGTAGAAATATAATTGACTTATTATATGTACTGTGCTATGATAATTACTGTTGTGATCTATGTGTTATTAGTAACGAGTATATATTAAAATGTGTTAGATAATATTTTTAGTTTAATTTAAATTATTCTATAAAATAAAAAAATGGGACAAGAAATACTCACCCTTATTAATATTTTTTAGGTAATGAAAATGAAAAGATAAAAAAGATTGATCCGTTCTAGAGTCATACTCGCAAAAGATTGTAAGAAAAATTTGTTCTATTAGGATTAATTTAATTTGAGGAATGTAATAGTATTAATTAAATTTTCATTTAGAATTTATATTTATTGATAAACTCCATTATAAGTATTAATTAAGATGCATGTGGAATATTTAAAAATTAGTCGATTTAAATTTTAATTTATATTTAATCTTAGCTAGAAATCTAACTTATTGCATAATAGTATAATTTATATTATAAATTTGAATTTCATATATGTAATTTGTGTAAAATCTTAGTTTTCATTCTAATCTTAAATTTAAGTTATGAAAATGTACCTTTATTTCATTATGAATGAGACTAGTACAATGGTAAAGTTTTAAAAAAATTTCAACCTCTGTTACCTTATATTCAAATATTTGTACAATTTCTCCAAAATTATTCAAATCCTTATCAATTTTGTCAATTATATTATTATTAATATGTATTATTAAGAAAAATTATTTAAATTATAAGAAGAATGTTACATTATAAGAAGAATGTTACATTTTTTTGAAAAAAATTAAATAAATAATTTTATTTCTTGTCTATTTTAAATTTCAAGATTCAAAAGCATAAATTATATAATTTACAACCTTCTTTTAACAAATTTTAAGTTAAGAAAGTTATAAATTAACTTTAACTTTTATATTAACATTTTTTTGTTAACATAGAGTTAATTTTATACATACAAAAATAGTATATTTTTATTTAAAAAGAAAAGATTTAATACACTTTGTGTATTTCTAATATACTTTAAATAAAATTTTATTATTTCAGAGGGTTTAAAACTAGTCATGAAGATTGATATTAATATTTTTTATATTATAAAGATAAAACATAGGTGCAATTCTTTAATTTTTCTTATGTTATTTTTCAATCAAAATTAAAATTTATCTTGAGGAAAGATTCACATTTAAGACTATCACAAGTTACCGATTTCAAAATTCTAAGTTGTATGCATTTTAAATTTCTTGTATTCAGTTTAACGTGTTTAAAGACACCTGTTAAGAAAATCAAATATATCATATTAGATGCTTTAATTTATTATTTAAAATATGAATTGAATAGTTCTTTTTTATGATTTTCAGATAATAAATGTTTTAATTTTTAATAAAAAGTTTTTATTTTTACGCTCTTACACGTTGGATACAATAACTTTCATCATCTAAACATACCAATTGAAATGCTACCTAATAAGTAACATTAATTAAAGACCCTGCAATTTTTTCTTATATCTCCACGATCTACAGCCAAATAACCCAACTTAACCATAGCATTTGCAAAGCTCTCACGAAAAGCACTACCATCACTTGAAAACCTGGATGCTATGTCCCTAGACAATGGATCCAAAGCCAATTGCTGATCAATGGAAAGCACCCCTCTCTTGTAAAACAATTGACCATAGAATGTGTTGTCAAATACATTAGGTGTGGCATCCAAAACAGCTGTGGGATCATCCTTTGTAGTGTTAGTAGATGAAGACCCACAAATTCTCACCAAATTTGCATCCAAAGCCGGGTCCATAGTAGGATCAATGTGACCTGAAAAGCTAGAGAGCCTATTTCTAAAGCTGCTACAATGAGCAAAGCCAAGGGTGTGTGCTCCCAAAAGGGTCACCATTTCATCGAGTGACATGTTCTTTGCAGTGAAAAACTCAAGTGCTTGAGACACGGGAAGATATGGGCCTGGAAGGTTCACTTCTTTGGGATTGGATATCAGCCCATCTTTTCTTCCTGTAGGGACAAGGTATATGGGCCCTCCTGCTAGGCCCACTGCATCTCTTGCTGCTAGTGTTATGATGTCTGCACATGAAACTGTTAAAGGGCAAGATTCTTCTAAAAGCGTTTTGGCCTCATCAATTATCTCATATCCACGCACTGTTAGATTTGGTCCTGCATTCTTCTCTGATGATGTCTCGTTCGTTGGATCTATTAGTATGGAGGCGTCACAACCCTGAAATTAACCAAGGTGTTGGGAGAATAATATTTAAGCATTGTTTTAGTATAGTTAGTATAAATATTATTAAATAATAATAAATTTTAATTGAATTTAAGAATATTTTGTTTGACTATTTTTAAATTTAATAATAAATATTTTATTATATTTAATAGAATAAAACATATGAGATAAAGTTTTTAAAATTAAGAATAAATTATAAAAAATTAATTAAGATTAAATTAGAAATATTAAATGTTCAATATAGGAAAATTCATGTAACATTGTAGGAAAGAAAATAAGTCTTATAAATGTTCTGTATAAACTCAAACCATTACTAAACATGCTGGACTAGGTTCGCTTGCAAAGAAAAGAAAAGTGTTGTATAAATATTATTAAATAATAACAATTGTTAATAAAATTTCAAAATATTTTATACAACTAGTTTTAAATTTAATGTATTCAATAAATTTTTATAAACCCAAACCATTTTTAAATAGTCTGGGGCCCGTAAAATAAAAAGGTAAAAAAAATATATTAAATTACATAATGGTAAATAAAAAATATTTATTAAAAAAACAGAGTTAAGTGAGACTATCCACCATCATGTAGAGCACAAAGTCATTGAATCTGCAGTTTAAACAAGTTAGACGATAAACACAAATCGACCAAAATATAACCCAAAATTAAATGGGTTCATGTTTAAATTTTTTTCACACAATAAGGTTGTTAAGTGATACTTCAAATAAGGAATATTTTAATATTTTTAAGAAAGTGAAATAAAAATAAAAAATGTTATATTTAATAAGAAAGAATAATAATATTAATTTGCGAAGTAAAGATTGACTTATTTTGCTTGATAATTAGAGATGAATCAATATATATCAACTTATAGTAAATAAGAGTACATTTAATAAACATACTTTTTTGAACATTTAAAATTGATTGACCATAATGTCTGAACTGTACACTCTTGTTACAATTGTTTAAATTTTCACCTACTCTTTTTACTTTTTATGTTAATTTTATTCAAAATTTTATAGATAAAAAATTTTACTTAACCGTTTTTGTAAATACTTATATTCACATTATAAAATTCTTTTATTATCTTATATTTTATGGTTAGTGTTAAATTTAAATAATTTTTAAAAAATTAAAATTATTTTATTATACATACATATATAATTATTTAAAAACAAAATTTTTAATTATTAATATATATATATATATATATATATATATATATATATATACGTTTATACTTTACATGAGTTGAAATAAAACGAGAATGAGATATTGTCAGTACTATTAACATCAAAGAAACCATTTTGATTCACAATAAGTTGATGTTGATATACTACTTCCGTGTTTACTGAAATTAATTGATAAAATTTATTATTTATTTTTAGACTATTTATAATTTATAAATATTTTGTTTATTATATTGAAAATTTATATTAAAAAAATAAAAAATATATAACATATTATTTAAATTTCTATATCAACAAATAATAAAAAAATTCTTCTCTAGAAGGAGAAAACAAAATGAAAGATATATTCCTCTGAATAAATATGAAGTATTAATGTGCTATGGATGGTTTGGGTCTTACTGTGACAAAGCAATCATGGAAGTGCATGCGAAGCAAGCCTCCGGTAATTGACGCATCCTGCAGGAAATACCTTCGTACGACGTCGTGTACAATGTTCTCAGCCATTGGACAGTTCATGTCATAGTATCCAACTATTAGGTCACCCAATGCAAATGAAAGGACACAAAATAATATCAGAATAATGTTTATGATCTTCATTTTGTGCCTGTCTTTGTTTTCTGTTTTGGGATCTTGCAATTTCTTTTTATAAATGGCATGAACAGTGGTAGCAACCCCTCTTTTCTTTTGCTAACCTTCTTGGGTTATGTAGTTAATGAAAATCAAGCTTAATAATAAAGTTTGTGTAGACAAAAGCATTAAAAGAGTGTATTTTTAATAATATTTTTTTAAAATTAAATTGTTACTCGGATTAAACTTTGAATTTTTTGGTAGAACCATTAATTGAATGGCAGTAATTAATGTTTTGTATTAACTTTCTGCAATCCTAAAGGGCAGACTTTTGTCAAGTGAAAACAATGTTGAATGCTTTGAAAATGTTAATACTGGGAAGGGGAAGAACTTAGAGGCGGTTTTTAACAGGAAAAATTAATGTTCAAAGCCAATAAATATTTTTTCAAGATAAAGCCAAGAAATTAATATTTATTCAAAAGTGAAAAAGTTTAAATCATAATTTCAAGATTTATTCTAACTTAAATTAAAGAGAATTATTACATATATTTTATTTTATATTTTTATTTTTTTATTGTCATTGGCAGTTATCTCTCACTAATTAATAAATTACACTTTCTAACTTATTATGTAAATTAAAATGGTTATTCTTTAGGTTTAAGTAAACCTTTTTTTTTTCCTAAAAGATATATATATATATATATATATTTAATACATAATAAATACACCTACTCCCCTTATTTTCAAAGTAATTTAATGTAAATAAACTCATTTTGAAAGTGTAAAATTAATGTTTAATTTTAACTAGTATATTTTATTTATTTATTTTATATTTTTCTCTAATTTCAATTACAATATATATTTTTAATTATCATACATACAAATAAATATAAATTCAAATTCAATTACTTCCTTCTTAGCCCAGCACCACGTAGTGCCATCTTCACACCAACATCAAGGCCCAAAATATATGTAATTTCAGGGCAAGAGAAAACAAGTATGAGATTCATCTGTAGTTCAAAAGCAAGTAGAAGGGGAAACCAATGCATATCCTGATTTTGATTCTTGCGAAGATAAAGAATTTGCGAGTCGCTTGGAGAGTGTTGATAATATATAATTTCATTTATAATAATAATAATAATAATAATGGTATTATGTGTGACTCTTTTATTTAAAAGTTGATTGATATAAATGGTGAAGATTATGAAAATTATTTATAATAGCTCAGTATATAATTTTATATTATAGTATAGATCATTAATAAAAAAAAAATTAAATAGACAATGATAAGATGGAGAAATAATATAAATTATATTTAGACTTAAAAACATTGAAGAGTATAATTATTTTTTATATTATTACAAAAAGAATTCACTTTTGTAGGAATTTTACATTGTTACCTCTTCCGTGAGAATATTTTTTAAAAAACCTTATTAAAAATATATTATTTGAAATGTTAGTTTTTTAAAAATATTTTTTAAAATATTCATACCAAACAAAAAAATTTATATTCTCAACTTCACATTCTTTAAAAGTTTAAAAGAATTCCCTTACGTACCAAACATCTTCAATTAAGAAAAATGTAACCAGTTTAAGTGTATAATAATAATGGCAAAATTATTTAAGAAATATTTTCATAAATTTATATTTATAATACAACAAATATTTCGTAATAAAAATTTACTGTATTAAATATTTAAATTCAATCTTAAAAGTTAAAATTAATAACATTAATAATTTAAAATATTTTTTAATGTGTGTCCTAAGAAACATGTTAAAAATAATTAAATATATCATGTTAAATATTTTAACTTCTTAACATGAATGTTTTTAAAAATTTAAATTTAAATAAATAAGAAGGGTTCAACTGATACACGTAGTTTATTTAAAGATATTTATAAATAACTCATAAAAATATTTTATAATTTATATAAAATTTATTATAATAAGAAAAATTATATAATTTCATAAAATAAAATGTTTTATTTTAATAAGTTTTATAATTAAAAAATTGTCATATATATATATATGTGCCCATAGATTCATTCCATTGGCAGTAAAAACACAGCCTGACGCAGTCAAAGTAACGTGAAATGATCGAAAATTTTGGATCTTTTTTCGCCTCAGAAAGTGTAGAATTTGGGAAAGAAAATGGTTCAACGCATTGAGAATTAACTTTCATGCAAAACTGCATTTATGAGTAGGCGTCATCATCTTGGACTCTACCATTCAAATTCTGGAAACTTTACTCTAAATCTGTGGGGTGTTACATTTGACCATTCAAATTTATTAAATATATTATTTAATACAGTTTTATATTATGATATATATTGAATAGTTGATATTTAATGCAATAGTAGTGTCACTGTAAAGACTTTTTATTCCTATTCACACTATGTGCCTTTTATATGAACAGCTTTTCTATGCGTGCCAATGGTATATACTAAAAAATAATTAAGTAATATTTTTTAAAATAATAATATATAATATTATTACTATATTAAACATTGTGACATTTTATATTTTTTAATACAACAAATATCATATATATTTTTATTATATATCCTTAAGCACACTTTAAAGGAATAATTATAGGAATAGTGACAACATTTTGACCATTTTCTTCAGAATTACTTTTATCAAAGACCAAGAGAAATAGTGAAGCTAGATAAACCGGCAAACCAGTAGAAGAATATATGTTTAACGGTGGAAAGTCCTTGCAAATCGTTTAACAAAAAATGGTTAGAAATTCCAAGCAAGATATGAACAAATTACAACAATTATTCAATTGAACTAATAATTATTGTGAAAATTTCCTAATCTAAAATTTTGCTAGCTGAGCAATGAGCATAGTTAGAAAAATAATATGTTAGATATTCAAATCTTCCTTCTCAGATACTCTCTAAGTATCTTTTTTCATTTTCAAATAATAAGGCTATTTATGTTATTTTAATTTTTTACATCGTTCTAGAGCAGTCCTAAACAGTGCAATTATTTTCGTAGAATTTAACGAATAAGAACCTGATTCATGTTTTCAGCAAAATAAAATTAAAAGAAAAGAAAAATATTTAATTTCAAAACCATATAATACGAGTACACAATTATACAATAATCGTGCTCCTTTTTTATGAAATCAACATCTCAATATTAGCAACTATCTAAATATATTTTTTTATTTATTAAAATTATACAAAACAAAAATATTGAATATAAAAATCATAACACATAATTTTTATAATTTTTAATAAATTTTAACAAATAATAAATAGTGTATTGTTAGCATTTTTCAAATTTTTAACATTGCTGGTTATTTTATAAATTTTTATATGATAAAAGATACATATTTTATAATTTTTTATAAAGATACATATTCCAACATGCTTTAATTGCTAGAGAAACTATCATTAATAATTAATTGATAATCATTTATAGATATCCACAAATTTTACATGTATTTTGAAGGTTTTTCAAACAGTTGCTAAATTTTTTTAGTTTCTTCTTTTAAAAAATTTGTACGTCCTTTTAGTACGTTGTTTTTAAAAAATAATATTGATTTGTGTATTTTAATATATGTGTACTTTTAATCTTTTTGATTTTAATTATTTATATTTATTTTCTTTATATTTTATTTGAGAATTTAGAAGAGACGAAAGAAAAATGTTTGAAGAGTAAAAGAGGAAACGACAATAAAAAAAATAAAAGATATTGGTTTGGTAATTAATTTTTGAAGAGAAATGAAAGAAAAGAAAAGATCGATTTAATTATAACCTTATTTAGAAGTCTTAATTAGGTGTTTTTAAAATTTTTTTTGAGAGTTTTTCATTAATTATTCTTTTTACTCTTTTCTTTCCTTATCCTTTAAACTCTTTTTTTTTTCTTTTAAATTCTCAAACAAAGTCTGAAAAATAAGTGAAAGAGTTTTAAAAAATTATTAAACTCTTTTCTTTTATTTAAAATCTCTCAAATAAAGATTAACACTAGAAAAGTCTTTTTCTTTTTCTTTTCCCTCAAAAACAAACTTCCTAATAAAGTCTTAATTTTTTAATTATTATATTAAAACTCATGTCTCCAAATTTTATCCAATAATTAAGAAAAGTATAATGAAGATGTGATATATTATTAATTTATATACACTAATAATATATATATATATATATATATAATATTTAAGTAAAAATATTATGTAAAAGATAATAAAAATATATTTTATTTTATTATATTTCATATAATTTTTCTTAACAAATTTTCACGAATCAATTATATATTATATGAAATTTTAGGATAAAACTTAATTTAAATAATAAAAATTTAAAGAGTTTAAATATAAGATATTAGAAGTAAGATCACTAAAATCAAATATAAGCTTTAAACTATGAGAACTAAAAATGGAATTAAGAAAATAATAAAACAACAAAAATAACGCTCCAATACCATTATTGATTTTGTAGGCATTTCCTTTTATATAACGCGCAACAGCGCATTCTACAAAGGAAAATTAAACTCCCTGCAATTCTTCCTGATCTCACCCTCACTCCCAACCAAAACACCAATGTTCCCCATCTTTATCATAGCATTTGCAAATTTCTGTTGAAAGCTATTACCATCAGCCGCAAAATTAGCCACCATGTCTTTTGACAAAGGGTCCAAAGCTAGTTCCTGATCAATATGAAGCACCCCTCTCTTTCGAAGCATTTGGTCGTAAAATTCACTATCAAATTTAAACGGTGAATTTTGGTCCAAAAACACAAGAGGGTCACCTTTTGGTGGCTTATTGAGTGACCCACAGATTTGCACCAACTTTGCATCCAAATCAGGGTCCATTGTGGGATCAAGTGTCCCTTTAAAACTTGAAAGCCTATTTTGAAAGACACTACAGTGAGCAAAACCAACCGTGTGTCCTCCCAAAAGGGTCACCATGTCCTCAAGTGTTAACCCTTTTGCGGTGAAAAATTGAAGAGCCCGTGACACGGAGAGTGATGGTGCTGGAAGGTTGACTTGTGAGGGGTCGGATAGTAGACCATCTCTTCTTCCCGTGGGCACGCTGTACCTGATTCCTCCTGCCAGTGCCACGGCATCTCTAGTGGCAAGTGTTATGATGTCAGCACATGAAACTGTTGAAGGGCACTCTTGTTCTAAGAGTGTTTTCGCTTCATCAATTACATCGTATCCACGAACGGTTCGGTTTGGTCCTGCATTTTTCTCTGATGTCCTAGTGCTGGTTGGATCTATTAATATTGAGGCATCACAACCCTGAAACCCAAGTGTTGTAAATTTTTACTGTGGTCCCAAAACCTTAATATTGTTTTATATTACGATTTGCAGCCATAACATAAAATTTTTTAAGGTCATTATAATTGTATTGTGAATGCAATTGCAGCTTCATCAATAGCATTTACCACAGCTTTTTACAATATCAATGATAATGGTATGGGTTCAGTTATATGATATTGTGAGAATGTGTGTGCTTCTATTGGATAAAGGGTATGTGAATATGAACTAATATCATGAAATGAGTAAGGTTTTTAATTTGGTCTTACTCTAACAAAGCAATCATGAAAGTGCATGCGAAGAAAGGCTGCGACAATGGATCTATCCTGGTTGAAACGCCTTTGCACAACTTCATGAACAATTGTCTCTGCTTTAGGACAGGTTAAGCTATAGAAGCCATCACGTAGATCAGCAAATGTGAACGGAAGGACAAAGCAGAAGAAGATTAGAATGATGGTGTTCTTCATTTTGGGTGTTGCGCTGCTATATAGGCTTCATCTTTGAGTCTCTTGCAAATGCTATATATATATATATATATATATATATAGACACACACACACACAAATTAGCAACATTTTTTGGGATAAATCTTGGTGGAGCATGTCATTACAGATTTTTTCCTCTTTTCTTAATTTTGTTAAAGCCATTGAAAAATATGGCGTAAAATTACGCTGTATTTCTTGTCCGGATGCTTGAAGGGTAACAGTTGCGTAAACTTTTTTCTTTTCCCATATAAAAACATTAATATTGAATACTTTGATAATGACAACTAGCTACATTTACGGGCACGGCAGCAGTACAATACAACAAAACTATATACACCGTCATTCAATTAAAATATACAATATATATAATTTTTAAATTAATTATTATAAAGTTAATAATTATTCTTAATACAAAAATCAATCTATAAATATATAACAATATAAAAAATGTTTACATTATCAATACATTCTAATTAATTTCTTTATCTAATTCTGTATGAAAAATTTAGTCACTTAAATTTGTGTTATATTAAGTACTAGTTTGAACGTTTTAATTATCTAGAGTGATTAACACTATATGAAAAATTATACATATTATCATTGTGTCATAATGTACCCTATTATTAACACATTTACACTATCTATATTGATAACTAATTTTCACTAAATAAAACTAGATTAACGAAAATAAGTCTAACCAACAACTAACGTGTTTTTTTATTAGTATCTTACATTATTTTGTAATTAATAATTTTTATGCTTTACGTTTAAGCTTTTATATATATATATATAAAATTACTGTTTCCATATTTCATTTATATATATAGATACATAGATTGATAGAGAGAGAGTGTGTATTTGGACTATCCAGTTCAACTGAATCAACTCCAATCGAAAAGCCCTCTAATGCAAATAGTTGACTTTACAAATCGATCATTTTATAATTCTTTTAAAAAACGGGTGTATTTTAATTTATATTAAAGATAAAAATTTACGTTAATAATAATTTAAAATATTTGAATTTAAAATATTAAATATCTATTCAACATGTTTAAAATAAAAATATATCATTAAATTGCCTCATTTAATAACAAAATTAAAATATTCTAAATAGTCTTAAATATATAAAATAAATAATTTAATTAGTCTCTACTTTATTTAAAAATCTTTAAGAAAGCTTTTGTATATTTTAACTGCAATAATTTCACTCTCTTCATCACCGTACTTGTTATCATATTTAGAATCAAATATTAATTATGTTACTAAATTCTAACCAACAATAAATTAATACAATGGTTTTAATTTATTGCAACGTGGGTTGTCATGGGATGTATTTTTAAAAAAACATCCTTTAAAAATAAATATTTTTAAAATTAAAGGAATCATCATAAGAAAATTTAATTTTTTTAAAAATAATATAATCTATTAAACTAAGAATGAGTTTAGAAATTATTTATGTGCAAAAAAAAATTATTAGCATTTGACAACGTCTGTTCAAATAATAGTTACCTTAAATTAGTTGTGCAAATTTATAATTATTTTTAAAATATTTATTTCAACTTTAAACAAAATTTTTTACTATTTTTATCCATTTTGTTTAATAAAGGAATAAATTTATTTATTGAAAGTATTACTTGATATTATAGTAAGGAGATAAAATTATTTTTAAAATTTGTTTTACTTCGACAATGAATTTTGTAACATCCTAAATTTTCAATTGCATATTTCTTCACTCAAGCGAAAATGAATCAAATTTTCTCACTGACACTCTTGCTCAAGTGAGGAATCTGTCACTTAAGCAAAAATTTGTGACAAAAAAAGGTAGCTCTCGGGCCTATTTTTACTCAAGCGATAATACCCTTGCTTGAGCAAAAATATCAATAGAAAAGTAGTGATTTTTGTTTTATTTTATCGCTCAAGCGAAAATTCGCGAGAAAAATAAGTATTTTAGTGATTTTGGATTTCTAAAACCCCATATTTCTAAGTAGGAAACCCTTCTCATTTCTTTCTCTGTTCTCTCATTTCATATAGATTTTATTCAATATATATATATATATGTGTGTGTGTGTGTTGGGTAAAAGAGATAAAGCTTAGGATAGATGATTTTTATAAAGATCGAGAGTGTGTGATCTTCAACAATGTATTTCTAAAGTGTATGATTGGGTTAAGTCCAAAGGTGTCCGACCTTTAGCACATTGTATTGATTTGTATGATGTGAAATTGATTGATGAAGAGTGTTTGACTGCTTTTGAATGATAAAATTTATTATTAGTTAAAAGTAATGAGAGGAATTAGTGTGAACTTGATTGCATATGAAAGGAAATTATTATGAAAGAGATTTGATGTAAATGATTGATTAATACTGTACATGAATAACATAATATGGTGAGTTTTTATTATGAAGAGAAAGAAAAAGAGTGAAAATCGTACTATCATGAGAAAAGTGATGAAAAGAAATGATGTGAATATTGTAGGGTGGTGAATGACATTCACTTGTGTATACACAGTCTATTCATTACGAATACATCACATGGTTTCACACTTGTTTCATGACTAGACTCCTGACTATACTTTTGCTAAGGGGCCCTCTATTGTATATGTTGTATTTGTGTGCACAGGCTAATCGACAATTATCTATACTTATGAAAGACCTCAAAAGATCTTAGAGGCAATGATTGTGAATTGTGAGATGTGTGATCATAATAGGTGAGTCATAACGGATTAATTAGTGTGATTATAATACATGTATTGTAATACATCGACGAGTGTAATTATGATGCATGTATCATAATTCATTGATTAATATGGTTATAACACACTTATTATAATATGTTGATATATAAAATAAATAAAGTGGTATGGAGTCAAGGATAAAATGATTGAATTTGATTACGTATGAAATGTTGTATATTGATGTGATTGTTATGATGCTTGATCTATTGTAGGTTCATTAATATAGTACATGAGCTAGTACTATTTTTATATGCATTTTGTATTCAATAATATTGTAAGTAATACTTGATTCATTTATAAAATAAAGGATGTAGTGGGACGGATGATACTCACCCTTACGAATTATTTTCCAGGAAATGAAATTGAAGAATGAATGAAGGTTGATTTGTTCTAAGATCATATCCTCGGTAGAGTTATAGGAAAGACTGTTTTGTTAGAACTTAGATTAATTTTGAAAATTATAACAATTTTAATTTAGTTTTCATTCAAAGTTAACAAGGATATGTAACCATTTTCATATTATTTATTATGAATTTATAATATTTAGATAAGTTTTGTTGTAAATAATAAATTGAGGTGTATTTGTAGTTTTGATTGTTAGCTATTTTTAATTTGTAGCTTTTATTTAATTTTAGATAGAAATTTACTTTGTTGAAAGGTACTACTGTTGATCATTTTTTTAACTTATATACATGTAATACGAATTAAGTAAAATGTTAGGTTGTAAATTTTAGCTTTCACTCTATTTATAAATTTAAAATTTTGAAAACTATTTCTTGTAACATTTTGAATACTTTTGAATTTTCATAAATTGAATAAAAGAAAGGTAAGTTCTATATTTTCTTCAATTCTTTAAGTTATAAATATAAAGAAATTTACTTCATTTCCCTTCTTTATTATAAATTATAAAAATTAATGATGTTTCAAATTTATTTTAGATTATTTTTTTCAAAAATAAAATTATATTTTTTAGGATGCAAAATAGCATGACTATACATGTTATCTTACAATAAATAATACAAAAGGCGAAAGAAGATCATACATTCATATTATAAATTATTATAAAAGGTATTTTATTTAGGAAAACTTATTTAAAATTATTTTAATTCAAAATTTGATTTGAGAGAAATTTAAGACAATGTAAATTATACATAAATATTTTATGATTTATTCATCAACCAAAAATAATGTAAATCTCATATCAACATCGCAAAATTTGTATAATAAAATAGAGAAATAAATTTAAGTAATCAAATGTTTATTTATTTATTTTATTAAAGTTATAAACATGACTTATTATTATTTTTAAAATATAAAACTAATTTTATTTAATAAAAAATATTTAATGAGAAACATATATTTAAATTACTTAATAAAGATAATTATTTAATGAAATGAGCTGTAACATAAGTTAATTTTAAATCAAACTTTTAATTACATCAGACCTAATGTAAAGTTAGTACACAAAGCTTTTTACAAATTATAACATATAAAAATAGAAACATTACATATTATTATTACAAATTATTGCACTTAGTTTAGTCAATAGATTAATTGTTTAATTATTTATGAAGTAGAGAGAAAAATGTTTGAAAAAAGATATTTAGATTAATCAATAAAATAATTATCTAAATAATTTAATATAAATTATAAATTATTGTATAAGTAAGATAATTTTTTAGCTTAATTAATAAATTAATTGTTTGATGATTAAAGTGAAAATATTTGAAAAAGTATAGTTTAAAAGGTAAAATATTTAATTAATAAAATAAAAATTATTTAACTTAAAAGATCTATATCATATTCTTTTATGAGTTTCTCTAAGACTCGATTTTAGTGAAGAGTGAGAAAAGTAAAAGAGGCTTTGCTAGGGTTTTCTACAACCTTAGTCTTCCCTAAGTTTCCTCCCTGTGCTACCTTGCTCCTGGTGGTTACCCAATGGCCCCATTAGGGGTTCTTCTCAAACACCTATTGGATTGCTTGTGGGAACCAAAATGGATTAGGTCGTAATAGAAAAAATGTTCCAGTGCAGAGAAGATCTACCAAGCAGAAACTCAAAGAAGGTGAGAATCGACATCAATACTCCATTAGAGGCTCTTCAGTGCACATGCAAGAAGATATTCTTAGTCTTGAGCAATATTTCCATGTGCTTTCTAACCTTGATCCTCCCATCCCCTTTCTATAAAGATTCAGTTTTAGGGCAGAAAGATTTAGATCTAGTATTGTGTAATGAGGAAATTGTAAAATTA